AGTTAAATCTTATTTTTTTAATCTTTCCCTTAAGTAATTATAAAAATGAGAGCCATTAAAGTGCATTAAAACCTTAACTTTGTTTAAATCTCTCAATAGGAACCAAGGTTACATTCTGTGAGAAGAAGCTTTTCCCATCCTTCATCTGTGGCTTTGAAACCTCGATACTCTCGAAGCCCACACTTTCATCCTAGAAAAGATTTCAGAGCAGAGGATTCAGTTTCCACTCCACCTTCCTGTACTGATTTTGTTAAGTAGACTCTTGGATAACTGTTTTGTCCAGAATAGAAAATAGCTAGGCTTCTATGTGGTCTGGTAACAAATGAGGTTGAGGTTTGGGATATGCTTAAAGTTAAATGGTTTGGGTTTTTCTGTTTTTTTTTTTTTAAGAATTTTTAAAATGTTAGTAGCCAGAATATGGGAGCTGCAGAGCTAAATCATGGTTTCCTTCATTAACTGAGACACTTAGGTAATACAGAGTTGTAAGCCATAACAAGCGGCAGTCTCTGTGAGACGGCTGTCTTGCAGCTCATCGTCTGGCTGACCTCACAGCTCGATCTCCATACATAACCACTCAGAGTCCATTCCATAAGTTCCAGATTCGCAGACAGATCGATGCATATATAAAAACCCTTAGCAGCAGGCCATGTCTGTAATATGGTGTAATTTTTAAACTCCACCTTGTGAGGTGATGCACAAATCCTAGTTCTCACACTGTTCTGGTTCACTAATTGTGTGTACTTTAGCTAAAACAAAACATTCCAACTCGACTTACGTTACAGATTTTACACACATTGATATAAAAATCTGTGTTATAAAATATAAAATATCCACTAATCTGCCATATTATGGCCACTTACTGTGTAGTGGTTACTATGACCAAAATGACACTATCCTTAAATGTTCTTTAAAATGATCTATTTCTGGCCCTCTTCCATCATTCATACATGAAGTAGAATTGTTCACGGGGCACAGCACCTTAGGGAATGTAAGTATTCATAATTACATCATGTCAGATTTGATACTGTCAGTGTTTTATCTTTCATTCATTTGGTTCTTTGTGAGGCTTATAGGCTCTTAAAACATAAGAATTTACCCATAATACAATTTTATATTTAAATACAAATAAGCTATGATTGCCTGCTGGTGTGGAATGAGAGAAGTTTCTAAAATTAAAAAATATGCCACAATAATTAAAATTTTAAATTAAAAAATTACTCTTTTAAGTCAGTGCTGTTTACCAAATGTAACTTGTTTTAAAAAATTATTCCTTTGATAGAAGCAAGCTATTAGTAAAACAATAAAATTATATAAATCAGAAGTATTTTAATTGACTACATGGAAATTTATAACTTTAGCACAATACTTCTAAGAAATGCTATAATTTCGGTACTTTAAATGTATATCTACTCCAAGAATTAATACTGTCTTGTACTTCTGCTGGGAAAGAGTAAGAATTATAAATAAAAAGCTCTTGTAATATCAGATATCTTATAATATCAAAAGTTCTTATAATACCCAATAATAACTTGAAAAACTTTTTTATTCTGTCTCGTAAAGGATGATGAATATACTCATGGATGTACATATATATATTTGTGGTATGTAGTTTAATGTTTCTGGGCTAAAGTGCATATGTCTGAATAAAATGTAATGGTATTGTTTAGTAGATAGTATCTTCATACATCCTAAGGCTTTCCATCTTTTTAAGACTATTTTCTTTTGCTAGTGTTACTTTGACAGTAACATGCTATATATATATTGTTACCAGAGCCCTAGCCAAAATATCATGAAACAATATATTTAATACTTATCTTACCTGTTTTCAGTATATATTTTAATCCCATATTTATTATTCAAGCTTATTCAGTGAATAGCAGGCATTTTTTCCAAAAGCCTAAGAGTAATTGTATTTTGCATTTTAAAAAAATTGAAAGTGAAATGTTTGGTTAACCAGTTTAGTTCAGGCAATTATGATCTCCTAAAATATCCTGTGCTCCCGCATCATCTTCACTCAATTCTGTAAAGATTATATGTTATTATATTTCTCTCTGTACACTGTAAAGTGTAAAATGGAGGTAACATGAAAATATATTCATGTAATCTCTCAAAAGATACCATATGCTTAAGTTGTTAATACCTTGCTTATTTACAAATGTAGCAAAAGTAATTTTAAAAACTATGAAATATCAGTGTTTAAGCTTTCCACTTTCAAGGTCTTTTTATTGTTCTGAAACACCACTACATTAGCTAAAGGAGATGTCTAGTCAGCATAAGCAGTGCTGCCAAAGTACATCCTCTTCCTTTGGGATTTTGGGGATAGAAGACTAACTTCATCCATTAACAATTGAGGTGAAATTTAATACAGTGTGTTCCTTGCTAATTATATTAGGATCTTTGTTTTCAGCACCAAAACAAATGAGGCTGCACTATCTACTCCCATAACACTGTAACAACATACAAAAGTACACAGATTTTTTAAAGATAAGCATAAGTTCTCTCCCTTTGTAAAAAGGCAGGTGCTGATTAGTAAAGTTAACAGGAGTACTGTTCTTCTAGACAGTTTCAAACTGGGAACTGCTGCTGTTTAAATCACACTGCCCTGGTGTTAAAGAAGAGTGAACATAGACGCAGCAGAGCCCCGTGTCCTGGCTACATATATAATATATACAGAGTTTGCTGTAACTGTTGAGCTCGGACATACATACCATACATACTGGATCCTTACACACTTACCAGGGATGGTTCTCAATAACTTGGTGTAACCTGACTAGCCCCCTCTCATTGCTTGGTTTTAAGTAGCGATTTTCACTATTACTCCTGTCTGTCCGTCTGAAATCACAGTAGTTTCCTGATACATTTCCATGAGCCATAGCTGTGCACATGCAGTCCGCTTACGTCAGAGCTAATAACTCTCAGTGTTCTCCATGAATTACAAAATGTGTTCTAGGCTGGCTATCCAATTTGTGACATCAGTTACATCAAAAAAACATTTCACTCAGAATTTGGTGTGGTTACCTTACAGAGACTGACTGTATACAAGCAATAGTTAATTAAAATAATTCCCTTGAGCACTAACCAACCATTTTTTATATTTTATACTAGGTCAAAACAATATCACGAATGTTAAAAAATGTTTCTTTTGCATCCAAAATAAAAATCCTTCTTAAAGTGGATGAAAACCAAGTATCCATCTTTCATGCAGCTAACGACACATTTCCAAGAACTAACCTTTGCCCACAGACTCCTTCTGTAATATCAAAGGGAGCTTCTTTTTAAAATAGGATTCCAGTAATGAGTTAAAAATAAACACTGGCTTCAGAGTGTAGACCAGCAGTATGTCTGCCTAGACATGCACAGGACCCTAGTTTCATCGCCAGCATTTAAAAAGGAGAAAAAAGAAGCCATCACAATGATGAGAGAGAAGTGATACAAGTCTGCTTGCATAGAACACTGAGGTATTTCTGTAAAATGAGCTGTATAGGAACTTAAGTACAAACTGTCAACTCATAATTGTAGTTCCCAAGCCTTCCAAGAGCCCTTAGAGACGAGGAACTGACATTTACAGGCGGTGTGTCAACAGGTCGTCCACTACCTACCGTGCTGACAGAGGGCTGCGATCAAGCAGGATCCTAGAGAAGTTATTTCAATCCCAAAATTAAAATGAAGGTTTCTTGGCCTTTCTAGTTGACAAGGATTTTACAATATTTGATTTCTTAAAGTATATTTTACATGAGAGCTGAGACCTATATAAAGATGGCTTCACCCCACTTTGACGTGAAACTCGTGTCTACAAAATAGCTACATTCCTTTCAAAATGTAAAGTTGAACACTCAGTTTTTCTTTTTGCAGTTCACAATAGTTTCTAGTTTAAAGAGATGAGAACATCTTGACTATGCTATGAAATAAAAATTTATCAAGACTTATTCAGTAGGTGGCATTTAGATAATGGGCAATAACCACAGCCAAAAGGGCCTGGTCTGCAGTCCTTTTAGGGAAGTTGTCATAGAATTTAAACTGTTAGTAAGTTGATAAATCTTATTAATATGTTCACTTGTATTAAATTGTATATATAAAATAAAAAAGTTCCAGTGTTTGTGGCCTCTACTAAATTCTCTAGCGTTGTTACTACAATAGTTAATTCAAATAAAAATTAATATTGATGTTTGTCCAAACAAATGTGTAACGTATTAATTAAGAATATTATGTCATTTTGAAATACTTAGCCTAACAACTTTATAACATATTTTCATTTTCAGCATAGCTTCTTAAACTTTCTCCCTTTGTGACCCCCTTCTTATCCAAGAAATTCCTATGACTCTGGTATATACATAGAAGAATGTATACAAGCCAAACATTCACTGATGATAAGTCATAATATTTCAACAGCCCTTTGGTACACATATAACCTTACCATTTATTAGAGCCTGAAGCAAAGGTGTATACTAAAATGAACATCCTTATTTATCTTTACATAAAGAATTAATTGAGTCAACAAGATGTCTCTGTGCAACCCTGGCAACCTGAATCCAATCTCGAGAAGCCCTGGAGTGGTAGAAGGAGAGGACCAGCTTCACAGGTTCTCATCTACTATGTATACACATGCCATCACATATGACAGGACACGTCATGCACACACAGGCAGTAGAAATGTCTACATCTTTAGGAGTGCAGTCTTGGCTGAATGGCTGAGAGCAGAAGATGTAAGCTTCAGACTGTAAACCAATACTGGAATGCTACTCCACAGAAATCATAACACAGCACGGCAGAGCGCTTAGATTACGTCAGACATGCTGGAAATCTGACCTAATCCATAACCAAAATTCATTGTATTTATTTTTGGTTTTGATTTTTCAAGACAGGGTTTCTCTGTGTAGTCCTGGCTGTGCTAGAGCTCACTTTGTAGACCAGGCTGGCCTTGAACCCAGTGATCCACCTGCAGGATTAAAGGTGTGTGCCACCACTGCCTAGCTTAACTTTTTAAAAAAATCAAAATCAAGTCAGCAACTCAAACAGCAATTTTTATTTTACTATTTTGTCTTTCTTTTCTATTGCTGTGATGGTGGAGTTAGGCTTGGGCAGCAGCCGAGAGCTCACGGCTTGATCCACAGGCGGGAGGCAGAGAGCACACTGGGAATGGCAGTCCGCCCTTGACGATGCACTTCCTCCACAAGGCCACGCCTCCTACGCAAAGGCTTCCAGCTGGAGCTCTGGACTAACAAAGAGTTCACGGACTGTCTTGCTTTGGTTTGTGACCAGGCTGGTTAGAAACACGAGAATCCCAGAAACAGAAGGCCGGCCAGCCTGGCTTACTCGGTGCTGAAGAGACTGACTCAAGGGAGCTGAGAGGGCACAGCTCACCCCACCTTCTGCCCACCCCTCCTCACTCCACCCTCATCCTTACATAGACACAAGCACAAAGAAAACTTTCAGTTCACCGTCCTATCCAAGCTCCAGCAGAAGGGGCAGGATCCACTGCACGCGGAAAGTTCTGGGGAGAGCTGGAGGCTTCTTCTACAGTCTGTTCTTGAGCACCCCAACCTGACCCTAGCCGTCCCCCGACCCTCGAACTAGGAAAACTTTGCTGCGAAAACACATGTGGCTGCAGTCACATCTACATCCTCCTGGCTCCAGATCCTTGGGTAAGACAAGACCCAGCAGAGTCTCCAACGCACAGAACCACCACAAGAGGCTTCCTCAGCGGAACTCGAGGAGGAAACTGGCTCGAGAAGGCAATCTGAAGTTATCACAAAGCAGCCGTACTCACCTCTCATCTACGAGGCCGCCTCCCCCATAATTCAAGGTGACACCTGTGCCTCACACTGCCACTCCCTACTTGGCAGCTGTAGAGCAGTCAGAGCGTGCAGCCATCCCTACTGTGATCTAAGCTCTCACCTCCTGGGTCACCCGTTTACAGCACGGTCAGCGAGTGCCCACTCCAGCGTGGCAAGTTCTGGAGCTCAAGAGCTCTGCTGCAGTTACAGGTGGAAGCTTGACCAAAACAAACCCACCAAACAAATCTGGGCTCGGGGGTCCACCTTCCAGCCTGCGCACTTAGACGCTTTGGCGTCAATTCCGTAGTCTGTTAGCCTCTTCACACCTATTAAAGCCCATGGGTTCACAAGAAAAACGTCTATTTGTAAAATGACTTGAGGTTTTGGTGCAATCAAAGATTGTGTCATTGCTGCTTCTCCAGCCACGGGTCTTCCAGTTAGGAACGTGCCCCGTCTATTTGTAGTATACAGTCATAAACGTCTCCTGCTGCCGCTTATTACTCCACAGATACACAAGTGTGGAGAGTTGAGAGCTGCTGGTGTTTGCTTAGCAGTACCGGGATTGGCCCAGGCCTTCCATGCCCAGTAAGTGTTCCACCACTAAGCTGTATGCCCCGGCTTCCTGGAAAGCCTGATCTATCACTTCCAATACTGCCTCCGAGAGCACACCAAAATAAGTATTTGAGACTCACAAGAGCATTTTGAGATTTAAAAAAAAAAAAATCGATTCCCTTCTCCAGGAGAGGTTAAGATGCCCGCCAGCCTCTCACCTTGGAAGTACAAACCCTCCTTAAAGGTAACTCTCGGGCTGGAGAGATGGCTCAGAGGTTAAGAGCACTGACTGCTCTTCCAGAGGTCCTGAGTTCAATTCCCAGCAACCACATGGTGGCTCACAGCCAACTATAGTGAGATCTGGTGCCCTCTTCTGGCATGCAAGCATACATGGAAGGAATGTTGTATACATAATAAATAAATAAATCTAAAAAAAAAAACTCTCCACTTGGTAATTCTAAACTGCTGTGTCAAGCCAGACGCAACCGTGTACAATGGAGGCTGTTTTACCTGCTGTGCCTATCCAGACATCTGGTTGACCTTGCTGTCACCACAGAATAGGATTCAGTTTACCACACTGTTCCCCTTAGATGCTTGGCTGCTGTAATTACGCCGTCTCTTTTCTGTCCTGTCTCCTAGTGTCTAGCAGATAGTTAAATGCCTTCACACGTCACAGTCTGCAGAAGCTGCACTGACAGCAAGCCGAGCTGCTAGGGTATGAGGAAGCTCTCCCATGGGAGACACGATGCGTCTACACAGTACTGCAGTAAGGGCTCGCCAAAGGAGAGGCCGGAACGTCACTGGCTTCTCTATGCCTTCCTTTTAGGGAAACACAAGCTAAGTCGAATCACTGTGCAGCCCTAAGAGATGCTGTCTGTACCCCGGAAATCTACCCTACTGGCCCCAGTCCTCTGGACGCTGGAACAATCTAAACACAAATTGTACAAGGAGTCCAAAGGAACGCTTGTGGAAACGGTCCTTCCACCTTTAGAATGCCTGCACGCATCTTTTCCAAACAGTGCTTCCGAGCGTGTGGCTTTGCTAAGAGACACCAGCGCTGAATGGCACTTAGGTCTGGGAGGAGCTGCGAGCACAATCGCTTACTTCCTGGCGAGCCCTCTCTGCCTGATCCCATCCTCAGAACGGACATGGGAAGCAAGCCTGCGTTCTAACCGTGGCCTCGCCAACCCATCCCCAGAAGGAGCAGTGGGCCACTATGTTCTGCTCACTGTACAATGGTCACTTTAACTTCTCCTCTGGGGTCTCTTTTAGGGAGCCCTGGAGAAAGCCCTGAATCCCTGACATCCTGAACACCCATCATTTTCTCCCTCCAATATTTCCTTCAATAAATGTTACTCAACAACTCTAAATACGGTGTTCACAATCAAACTTTAGTAACAAGTTAAAAGGAAAAGACAGGCATGGTGACACACCTTACACCAGCACCTGAATGGCAGAGGCAGGAGACTGATGAATTTGAGGCAAGCTTAAACTATATAATGAAACCCTGTCTCAAAAAGAGAAGTAATGAACAAAAAATAATTTGACATAAATATATTAACAATTATTACATAATTTCAATATTGTATTATATCCTTTGATATATATCAAAAGCAATCATATGAGGTAAATTATGGATAAGTCAGGAAATATAAAGAGAACACAGATGAATTATACATATAATCATTACTACAATTAATATTTGTAATACAGTGTACCTAAAGGGCTTTATGGTTTTATCATATAAATAACCTGTTATATTTAACTTATTGTACATGTCATTTTTAGTAATTTCAAGATGAGAATTCTAGTATCTTTGTGTTGTTAAATAGCAGTGGTTCCAAAGTTATCCTTTAAGGAAACAGTAAAATTCTGAAGCTCTGTGACCTTAGATGTCTGAAGCCAGGCTCATAACGCGTTGAATGTGTGAGATCAGCGCCATCTACTGGACGAAGTGTAGTACTACAAAGCACAACTGAGAATGAACATGGGCAAGAGTCGTATTGCCTAGGACACAGGCTCCTAAAGCTCTAGGGAAAGAATCACTTTAACCGGAGACCCGCGGTGTCTAGAAGAGCAGGGCTGACATGTGAACGCCGGCCAGGGTCTGCGACCCTCGTTTCAGCCTGGGGAGCAGCCATGAGCGCCGGTCTAGGCCATGGTTTGGGAGAAGGCACAATGAGAAGGAACAGTATCAGAAACTGGTCCCTTACTCAACCAGCCTCCTCAGAGACACTGGCAAACGAAGAGCAGTGGTTAGTGGCACGGAGAAATGAAAAGGGTGGGTTGTCAGCGGTACCTGAATGGCTCTTAAGGACTCGGGAGGTTTAGGTACTCATCGGATACAATGCGTCTCTAAACACGACTTTAACTTTCCTGAAAATGCAAGAATACATTGGCTCTTTTCCCATTGGCCAGTACGGACTGAGCCTCTAGGTCCTGTGGGCCTTCACTAGCCAAGTCCTGGATTGGTCCAGCCTTGGAAACAAAAGCCCAGTGTCCGGTCCCAGCTCTCTCCCTTCAAAGGGACAGGGGTGTCCATAGAATCGAGGTAGGAAGTGGAGCTCTCTAAGGCCTCTCTCTGTGCCAGAGACCCCGAGTCTCGACAGCAGCTTGTCGGCTAAGTTCGGAGTAACGGGCTGAAGCAAGGTTCCAAAAACTCGCAAACATTCCAAGGCCACGTGAAGCACAGTACCCAGCCAAGGGGCGTCCGCAGGGCTTTCCCAGGTCAGTTTCCACGGCGCATGCCTTTGAACGAACCCATTAGTTTGCCGAACACAGCTGGATACGGCCTCCAAAGCCTTATAAATCTGAAAGTCGTCGTAATAGTCGGCCACCTGCTTGGGCAAAGTGGCCACTGCCCTCACGAGCGCATAGTCTTCCGCCTGCACACGAACCGACGGCCCCGTTAGCCCCGGCTCGCTGGGGAAACAAGCAGCGCAGAAAGGCGGGTAGGTCCCGGAAGGATTTATTCTGTGGGCAGTGCACCGGTTTAAAAGTCCTCCCAAGGCATCTGCCAGCTCGGAGTCCAGCAATTTGACCACCTTTTCATCGTAGTAATCGCAGTCCCAGTTGGGAACTCCCTGCCGGAGGAGAAAGTAGCGGAAGCCATCCACAGTATAGCGGTCAAGGCAAGCCCTGGGATCCACCACGTTGCCCAAGCTCTTGGACATCTTTTGGCCACTCACCGTCCAGTGCGAGTGGACATAGATGCGACGCGGTGGCCTCAATCCGGCCCCGAGGAGAAGGGCAGGCCAATAAATGGCATGAAACTTAAGAATGTCCTTACCTATGACGTGAGATGTGGCTGGCCACCAAGACTTGAAATCTGCATCTGGGTAGCCAAGTACGGTCAGGTAGTTGACCAGGGCATCCAGCCACACGTAGATAGTCTGCGAATCGTCCCCGGGAACCGGAATGCCCCAGTGCAGGTGGCTACTCCTTCGAGAAACGGACAAATCGGGCAGTTCCTCCTCCAGCCACTGCAGAACGGTCTGGTGGAACGGCTCCGGGGTGATCACCTGAGGGTCGTTTTGAAGCCACCGCTGGAGCGGTTCTCGAAACTGGGAGAGCCTGAAGATGTAATTTTCTTCCTTGGTCCAGGAGACGGGATGTCCGCTCTCCAGAGACACAGGACGCAGCTCCCCGGACGGACCCACCTGCCGAGTGACCTTGGCCTCGGGCAGGAAGCACTCGTCGGAGGCGCAGTACCAGCCCTCGTAAAGTCCTTTGTAAAGCAGACCCCGGGCCTCCAGCAAGCGCCAGAAGTGCTGCACCGCCTCCCGGTGCCGGGCCTCCGTGGTGCGGATGAAGTCGGTGGAGGAGATGCCAGCCTCCAGGAAAAGCTGCCGGAACTGGGCAGACACGCGATCGCAGAGCTCGATCGGGGCCAGGCCCGCGCCGGCTGCCGCCTGCTGGATCTTCAGGCCGTGCTCGTCCGTGCCGGTGGAGAACCGCGTGGCCGCGGAGCCGGGAACCCGGAGACGGCGGTGGCGGCACAGGGCGTCGGCCAGCAGCGCCGAGTACAGGTGCCCGATGTGCGGCGCGGCGTTCACATAGAAGATGGGCGTGGTGAAGTGGGCCCGCCCCTCCCCGGCGTCGCCGCGGGCGCCCGGCGAGCACGAACCGAAGCGGCGACAGCCGCGGGCCGCCCGGGTCCGCGCCAGCAACCGCAGCATGGTGCCCACCGGGTCCGGCCGCCCAGCGCGTGAGAGCGCGCGTGCGCCGCCGGACCGCACCGGCGCTTCCGGCACGGAAGCCAATGAACGGCGAGCGCCGGCTCCTGCGGCCCCGCCCACAGCTCCACCCCCTTAAGGCTTCCTGCGGTGCGCAAGGGCTGCCGGTCCGCGGGAGGATTTGAGAGCTCGGCTGCTGGGGTCCGGGGTCCCGGGGTTTCGGGTTCCGAGTCGGGGCGGGCGGGCGGGCGGGCGCGTCCTGCGTGTCGTGTTTTGAGCTGCAGTTCTACATGCTGTGATCCGTTTCCGCTTCTGGACTGAGCTTGCGGGCAGGATTTTTACACTGAGGCATTTCCCCAAACTCATGAGCATGTTGCGGAACCCAAATCCAGCCTCTCCGGATACTCTAATCAGCATCTGAAAAGCAAGTTAGATTTTATCTCAGAATCTAAACAAATACGAAAAGAAGGAAAGTGATTTCCGGGAGCGCTTTAGGGACCGAAAAACACTGGGGAAAAGTGAGGGTAACCAACCACTATCTCCATGCAATGAGACCCGTCCCTGACACTTCTCAGAAGGCCAAAACCCTGAGACTAGACAGGCCCTGCTTCTACTGAACCATCAAATACTATTGTTCTGCTGAAGGAACAAAGTAAAGTGAGTCCTAATAGCATCCACATAATAACATAACCGGTGTCTCAGCCATCCTCAGAGAAGCTTCCTCTGCAGGAGACGGGAGCACACAGAGACCCACACCCGCACAGTGTGCAGAATGAGAGGCCATGGTAGGATGTCTCCATTACCCCTCCTCTAGGGCTGCTCAGGGACCTGGGAGGAAGAGAAGGTAAGACCCAGTGAGGGGGGAAGACACCAAGAAAACAGTACCTTCCAGACATGACTGACACTCAGAGACGGGCAGCACACACGGGGCTGACGGGGTCCCAGCGCTGAGCGGGGACGTGGACACGAACTCACATCTCCAGCCCAGAAGCTGTCTCCAGCTGACAACTGCTTGCAAAAAACAAAGTTTCTCCACTTGAGTCTTACTAGTTGTCCGAAGCCCCCACGCGCAGTAGAAGATGGCCAACACAAAGGGAGCTCGGCACTGTCTTGGAGATGCTGTGCTTCATAACGCCTTGCCTGGGCAGCTTTACCTTACTTGCCTTTTGCTTATCTATTATAGTTTCCGATTTTGTGTTTTTATGGGGGGGGGGGAGGCTATATGTATTTCTCCTACTTTGTTTCTTTGTTTTTGTTTTCTTTTGTTTCTGTCTGTCTGCTTTGTTTTATTCTTGTTTGCTGTTGGAGTTTTTTGTTTGGTTTGTTTTCTTTGGTGTGTTTGTTGTTGTTGTTGTTTTTGGTTTTTTGGTTTTTCAAAGACAAGACTCTGTCTCAAAAAACCAAAAAAAAAAAAAAAATCCAATTGGCAAATCAGGTTTTCCGCCGATTCTTTCTGTCTTTTCCATTGCCATGAAATCAACTTCAGCTTGCAAACACTGCTCTCTGTCCTTGTTTGGTTTCTATCGCTACAATAAACTTCATGAAAAAAAAAAGAACATTTTGGGGAGGAAAGGGTGTATTAGACCTTATTACACTTTACAGTCCATCATGAAGGGGGCCTAAGGCAGGAACCTGGAGGCAGGAACTGAGGCAGAAGCCATGGAGGAGGGCTGCTTACTGGCTTGGCATCACAGCTTGCTCAGTTTGCTTTCTTACACGGCTCAGGATTGCCTTGCCAGGGTGACATTGCCCACAGTGACCTGGGTCCTAACACAATAATTACTAAAAAAATGTCCCAAAGACTTTCCCACAGACGGTCTGAGAGAGCCTTCTGAACTGACACTCGCTCTTCCTAGATGACTAGCTTATATCGAGTTGGAAAAAAGCAATGCACTATTTTTCTCCCATCTTATGAATAAAATGTTGAGACTGTACGATGGCTCTTCCCTTCCCTGTGGGACGGAATTCCCTGCAGGGAATGGCTGTTCGTATACACAAGTGGTTCACGTTCAGGACTATTAAGGATAGTATTGCTTTGCACATTCTCAGATGTCTCTCTTGGTACCTATGCGCTGAAGTTTCTCTTGAGCCTACACCTGGGAATCAAATCACTAGATCATAAAAAAAAAAAGGTTACTGTTCAACATAACAAGATAATACCAAGCTTCTTCCAATATAATTAAATAAATTTACACTCTGAGAAGCAACCTTTCTTTGAAAAAAAATTCAGTACTTGGTATTATCTGTTTTCATTTTGGCCCGTCAAATGAGTATAAAGTTAAATCGCTAATGTTCCCATATCCAGAAACCGGAACCACTCAAGTGTTCGTCACAGATGAGCAGTTAAATAAATACTGTATATCCATGCAGTGCCTTTTGTGGGGTGACTGTTTCCCAGGCTCCTCTCCTCCACCCCGTGCCTTTCCCTCGGCCCCCTCTGTGTATTTCATCCGTGCTCTAAAGCTCTTACTGCAGCCTTCTTCTACGTCCTTAGGTAGGTCGGATTCAAGGGAACGTTTGAGGCTCCTGTGGACCTGTTTTCCTGATGGCTTTCTCAAGATGCTTGTCCACGACACGGAGAAAGGCTATTGGTTCTTGTGTGTTGATTTTGTCCCCTTCCACTTTGCTGAACGTGTTTATCAGTGCTAAGGGTTTCTGGCAGAGTCTCTAGGGTATCATATTCCTATGTATTGAATCATATCATCTGTGCGTAGAGATACTCTGACCTCTCCCTTTCATATTTCCATCCCCTACTTTATTTTTGCTTGTCTTATCACTCTGGCTAAGCCCTACAGTAATACACTGAATAAGAGTGAAAGAGTGAACGCTCGGGCATGATTTTAATAGAAATGCCTTTAATGTCTCCCCATTGGATATAATACTTACTACAGGTTTATCATAGGTAGCCTTTATTATGTTGAGATATGTTTCTTATATTCCTCGTTTCTTCAGGACTTTTAATGTGAAGGGGTAGTGGAGCTTATCAAAAGCCTTTGTTGCATCTATCAAAATGATCACGTGACTTCTGCCCTTGAGCACATTTATGAAGTCATAACATTTATTGGCATACATATAGTGAACCATCCTTGAATCTCAGATCAGGTGACTGATCTTTTTATGTTCTTGAATTTGATTTGCAAGTATTTTGTCGATAATTCTTTTTTTTTTTTTTGATTTTTCGAGATAGGGTTTCTCCGTAGCTTTTGGTTCCTGTCCTGGAACTAGCTCTTGTAGACCAGGCTGGCCTCGAACTCACAGAGATCCGCCTGCCTCTGCCTCCCGAGTGCTGGGATTAAAGGCGTGCGCCACCACCGCCCTGTGACCAAAGTGTGTGATGTTGTTAGCCGTAGGGTTTTACCTGCATCTTTTTTTTTAAGGTTTATTTAACCTTAAAACAGTGTCCCCTAAGCTCCGTTCGGGAACTGACCCGATTTAGTCACCTTCTGGACCCGGTGTTTCTGAGTGCCTAGGAATGGCAGGCAGTTGATCAGGGTACCGGGTGCTCGCTTAACAGCTTTGCAAACACCGTGATTGGTACCAGCGATCGGCGGAGATCCCAGTTTTCCTGCAGAAGAAAGAGCAGAACAAAGGGGACGTGGAATACGGCAATCACGAGTCTCTGTAGAGAGCCAAGTTGGTCACTCTCGGTCTACCGTCTGATCCATCTAATTTACCCAGAATTCCCTTCCGCCGACTATGCCCAGCCTTGAACATGGGGACTATAGAATGGTCTCCCATACAAACACCTTTGAGAAGTAAAACATTTAATGAGGAGCTGGGCGGAAGGAAGAGGCTAAAGATGGCAATGACCTGCAAACGAAGCAATCCACACATGCCCCCTTTGAGGTGTTTCCATGTGTAGACTTTAATGAACTGAAAAATCTCTTCAGCCCAGCTTTCTCCAGGTTCTCCAAAGAGATCGGGGTTTATTTTGTAATAGCAGGAGTGTGGTGCCAAAATCGCTTCCTTCCTATCGCGACTGCCAGTCCTGTCTCGTAAGGTACACGTATTGGCAAGTGCATTGCTCTCTCTGGGCAGTGTTAGGACAGGGGACGTGATTATCTATCTCATTCAGCCTTTGATACCATCCCTTGGCAGAACACTTAACATGAGGGACACTCGGAGAAGGCAAGTCACAGAAGCAGAATCTGCGCACAAGCCGTCTGCTTTTGGGCTGGTGATAAGGAGCCTGGGCCTGGACAGGACACAGCACAATAAATACACATCGCCACGACTCCTTCCTTGTAAATTATTCTTGACGTGGCAGATTATAAGATTAAATGAGTCGGGTTATCCACGTTTGTTTTGTTTTAAGTAAGGCCATCTTGAGACCCGTGGAATTGCTGTCGTCACCTGTATAAATTCTCTCATTTTAAGCCCCCCCCCAGCCCCAGCCCCAGCCCCAGCCCCAGCCCCACCCCCACCCCCGTGCCTGGCTGGAGAGTCAGCCCAGACCCGAGAGCACTGACTGCTCTTGAGAGGACCCAGTCGTGGTTCCGGACCTCACATGGTGGTTCACGACCGTTTGTTACTCCAGGCTCAGAGGATCTGACCCTCTTCTGCACACATGTAGGCACCCACATACATGCACATAAATAAATCAAGTAATAAACCAAGAAGGTTGGGTAAATTAATTCCTCGTGTAACTATCTCATCTTTGCGATTATGTAAAGATTTTTTCTTTTTAACTACTTTTTTCTTTTTACAGTGCATGCTAATTGAACAAAATAAAATAGAAAAAGAAAACCATGATGACATTTCTATACATGTATGTAATGTACTTTGACCACGATGACATTTCTATACATGCATGTATGTACTTTGACCATGATGATGTTTCTATACATGTATGTATGTATGTACTTTGACCATGACGATGTTTCTATACATGTATGTAATGTACTTTGACCATGATGACATTTCTGTACATGCATGTATGTACTTTGACCATGATGACGTTTCTATACATGTATGTATGTATGTACTTTGACCATGATGACGTTTCTATACATGTATGTATGTACTTTGACCATGATGATGTTTCTATACATGCATGTATGTACTTTGACCATGATGACGTTTCTATACATGCATGTATGTACTTTGACCATGATGTTTCTATACATGCATGTATGTACTTTGACCATATTTGCCCCGTTATCATCTTTCTTCCTTAAGTCTTTATGAAAATATCTTAGGGTTTTTTTTTATGCTTTTTATCCTTCGTGGTTTAAATCAGCACATTTTTCTAGCAAAAAGAAACTCCATGCAGAAGGGTTTTCAAAAAGTCCACCTTAGGCATCCTGTTTTTTCTTCCTTCCTTTCCTTCTCTTTTTTCCTTCTGTTCTGTAGGATTCCAGGGTTCCCTCAAAAAGCTCACTTCCTCTCTGGAACTGATTTTCCTTTCCAACCACACTGAGAATCTGGGAATCAGTCTCTCTCTCTCTCTCTCTCTCTCTCTCTCCCTCTCTCCTTCTCTCCCTCTCTCTCCCTTCCTTCCTTCCTTCCTTTCCCTCTCTCCTACTCCCCCTCCCTCCCTCTCTTCCTCTCTTCCTCTCTCTCCCCTCCCTTTGGATCTCTTGAAGTAGACTCAGGGAAGAGAGAGAGAGCAAGCTAGGACAGAGGAGAGACAACAGACAGAAGGCATCACTTTGACGGATTCTATCTTCCATCTGCAGATAACCACACCCGAGTTGTACTTTGCCTTTAATTCCGTTTCTGGACCTCTCTTTTCCAGTCTGCCAGCTGGGAGAGACAAAGCCCCGAGCCCTGAGCGGCAGGGCTCTGGTCGGGGGCTGGCTGGCTGGCTGGAAATTGACGTGGCATGGAAATTTTCCGCTAAGTTGGAGCAGTTTGCGAGCTTCTCGGAGATCGAGCCCAGCGCCCCGGACCTGGAGCTAAACCCTGGGCTCAGCGACTCTACAGAAGAATGGATACAGTCCCCCGCTCCTCACCTTGGACCCGCAGTTTTTTCTGGCTATCTATCATTTCGCTGAAAATCAAACCAAGCAGTTAAGTCGGGAACTTGGTTTTCGCAGCTTGAACCAGAAAATTGGCTGCTCCGGTTCCCCTGGCTCTTTCCGCAATCTAACCCCTTGCTAACTTTGCCATGGGGTGCGGACTTAGGAAGCTGGAAGACCCTGATGATAGCAGCCCGGGAAAAATATTTTCTACCCTGAAGAGACCGCAAGTAGAAACAAAGACAGAATTTGCCTATGAATATGCCCTGCTGGACTTGACTTTACAAGGTACTCCTTACTTCTAATGCTATCTGTTTCCAAAATAAGAGAATACTCAGTTTTGAAGTGTGGACCTGTGGATTCTTTTTCGAAATGACATTGTTTGGTCGTCTAACAATGACGCTTTGTTTCTTAATTATATCTGGGGAGATTTTTGTTTTGTTGTGTGCTTTAAAAAAAAAAGTGTCTCGTGTACAGAATTAGGAAAACTACTTGGAAATGTTCCTTTCATTTTTAAAGCAAATAGGACCAACGCTTGTTTTCCAGGCCAAATTGCTGTGGCCTTAATGACAGCTTGTGTTTTGAAAAGATTTGGAAGGCATAGGACTGCAGCTGTGGGCAATGCTACTTGTATGCCTTGTGGAAAACTTGGCTAAGGCAAGTCTGAGGTGGCCAGTGTGTTGAATTTTGTGATTGTGTTACTTTTGTGATACGTTTGACCAAACTAAAGTTGAAAAAACAAGAAGGTTTTTTTTGTTGTTTTTTAAGGGAAAAAAGCAGCCTTCTGGAAGCCACTTCCTCAGCTGGCTGCTCCATCCCTAACAGAGAAACTTTGTTCTAAACATAAATAAACAAGCCCAGAAGGCGACTTGGAGAAGGGGCCCAGGCAGCTCGGCTTCAGGGAAGGCTCTGCCCCCCCCCCTTATGAAAACTGCACGCTGTTAGAGACACGTGTCCTGTAGACACAAGGATGTAACAGTGTTTCAAACAAACTGCATCTTTAATTGTGATGTGCTAAAAAAAAAAAGAAAGAAAGAAATTTAGAGAAACTTGCTTGCCAAGTTTTCTAAAAACTAGTATTAAGTTCTTATAGCAAAGCATAATTTTAATTCTCTCAAGTCATACATTTCATTAATTCGTAGTGTTTATACTAATTAAATTATCCTACTAGATATTGTATTTTATTCTCCCCCCTCCCCCCTCCCCTACCACCACTTTTTTTTCCCCTGAAAACAGTGTATCTTTGTGCGGAAGCAAGAGCAGCCCATTTTTCTTTGTCAAAAACTGAGCTGGCCAGCAAGCAAACTCCTTCTAAAGAGCCTAAGATCAGTACCTGTGCCCCAAACATGTTTGCCTAGCTATTTTGATCAGAGTAAGGATAAGGCTGCCTAAAGAAGGAGCGGAGATAGTCTAAATGTTTTCTTTGTTGTGTGAATTTTAAACGGGTTTTGGCACCGCTGATTCCAAAAGTGGCCATGCCTTAAAAAAAAAAAAAAAAAAAAAGCCATCTGAGAAAAATCCCTGTGTTGGGATGCTTCCATAGTGGGGTTCGCTCCGTTGCTTTTCCTTATCAAAGCAGACTGTTTGGGGTAGCAAATGCATAGAATTGAAAAAAAAGTGCCCTTAACTATTTGTGAATCTTAGGCCAGACCATTTTCATCTGTACTTTAAGATTTTGGTGCACAGCTCACTTCAGGACTATAGAACTTTCCGGACTTGATGTTTTTTTCTGATTCATACCAATCCAAGATATTATCACCTCTAACAAATGCATATAAACGCGATTACCTTCTCATCGAGAAGACACACATACAGCCTTCACTCAACAGTCAGTTTGGTTTTACTGTTCGCAGAAACCCTTTTCTCCATGAAAGAAATATAATTCCCACCTTCTGCTCTAGACGCTGCAAAAGCGTAAATTCCGTCGTAAAGCACAGGCAGGGGTTTGCTCTGCGCGCGCACGCTAACGCTAAAGCAGTCTCGCGTCTTCAGCCAGCATCTGCTTCCGATTTGCTGCAGGCGCCTGGTCTCCTGGCCCCGTCTCTTCCCGGTCCTCCCACTTGTTCTTGTTTGGGGGTTTTGTTTGCCCATTTGTTTTGGTCTTGCTTTTGCCTTGGCTGCAGAAGCCAGGACTCTGTGTACCAGCCCGGCTCCGCCCCCTCCTCCCTTCATCTCCCTGCCTCTCTCCCCCTGTCGTTGACAGCCACCTGCCTGCCACTCCAGCGGCTAAGACAGTGAGTCTGGGTGGGCTAACACATGCCAGCCCTCCGCTTGGCACCGACCATCCCTTCCTGGAACTGCTGGAAGAAAAAAATGCATAGTGCCCGCTCCTGGCTGCCAGACCACCACACAGTGAGAAACCTAGGCAGAAACAAAATGGCCTGGTGACAGCCGTGTGTGTCCACAATGCGCCTGTCTCCTGCTTTCCCAAATGGAAGCTGTGGAACAGAGAATAAAGTTTGGGGGTGGGGTGCTTTAAAAAACGGCAAGTCCCTACTCTGTGTTACAATTTATCTTGAACAATTTATTTATTTCCCATTCCTTCTACCTCCCCATACACACAGTCATTCCATGGCGAAGTCTGCCGTGCGGAGTTCCCATAGTAGCAGAAGTGTTCTAGGAGAATGACGTATCATTTTCATTCCAAGGCTGAAAGTTTCGAGTTGTTCTGCTACGGGTGAGCTCCCGAGTCTCTTCTCAGTCTTCTCCTTAAACATCTTAGCTGCTGCTGGGGAGATGACTCGGTCCGCAGGGTGCTGGCAACCCATGCCAAGGACTGGATCCCAGCACTGGAGTGGGGGGCAGACAGGCGGACCCCTGGCGAGCACTGTCCGGCCAGCCTTAACCAACCATGAGCTCCGAATCCAGAGAGAAGCCTGTCTCAAAAAAATAAGGTGGAAAGTAATTGCAGGAGATAACCAGTGTCCGCCTCTGCTCGCCCTGCCCTCTTAGGCACACTGGAGCTCACACGCGTGTGTGCGAACGTTCAAATACACGCGTACACACACACACACACACACACACACACACAACACGTGCACGCAAACCCAGTCAAGAAACAAACAGCTTAAACTTCCCAGGCTCTTGGCCCTCCAGTTCTCTTTACTCCTCCCCGGGCCTGTTCTCTCGTTCTCTCTGCTGTCCCTGCCCTCTCTTTGAGCCTTTTCTGGTCTTCACCCCTTACATCTCAATGAGGAAAATCATAAGCATAATGATTGGGCCTACAAGCCTCGCTAGTCCCAGTTCCTGGGTCGCAGGTCCTGCTGTAGCTGCCTCCCTGTCTGCAAACGGGAATTCTAATGCTGCTGAATCAGGCAGGCGTTGGTTCGTAGGGGCTCACGGTAGGCCAGCTGTCCCTGTCCCTCCTATGAAAACACCTCTAGCTCCAAGGCTGGTCACAGCCCACTTCCCTTCCTTCTTTAAACCCAGCCCTTACTCCTCTTCGCAGTCCAGGCCAGCCGGAAGTGGTGGTCTGAAGGGGAACTGAGATAAAGGGTTCAAAGGAGGGAGCATGGGCCCAGTTAGTGTCGTGGGCTGAGTTGGTGACAGCCATAAAGAGAAGAACTCAACAAAAGCAAGGAGAGGGGAACTGGCAGAAGGAGAGACACCAGGCAGCAGAGAGCGCAGGGTTAATACAGGGGACATTCAAGAACATTCAAGAAGACTGGGAATGAAGTTCTACAGAGAATGCACTGAAAGCCAACAAGGCTTAAGACGTACCTGGTCAGAAATAAACGTTGAAAGGAAGAGGGAGGCAGGGTGCCGTGCGCCTAGAACCCGAGGTCTAGGAAGGCTGAGATAGAAAGGCTGCCAGCCTGAGGGGCAGCCTGAGCTACATAGCAAGACCTGTCGGAAACAAAGAAAGGGGTGGAAAGGGACAGGGTGAAGAGAAAGAAAAGTCAGGCTACATTTTGTCACCGGGCGACCGTGGGGCACGCCTTTAATCCCAGCACTCGGGAGGCAGAGGCAGGTGGATCTCTGTGAGTTTGAGGCCAGCCTGGTCTACAAGAGTGGGCTCCAAGGCTACAGAGTAAACCCTGTCTCAAAAAAACGAAAAAAGAGGGGAAAAAAAGTCAGGCTATATTTTGTGTAACTGTATCAATCTAATAAATTCTGGGGCACTTCTCCCAACAATCAATGGGTTTTTAGAGGTTAAAGTGCTGCAAGGGGAGAAATTAGTAATAAAATCGGCTGAATCCTCTTAAGGATTAATATAATATCCATTCTTTCTTTTTACTAAGCTATATCGGGTGTTCCATTGTGTTTGAAATGCCCATGTTTGAAATGTCATAGTCTACCTGAGAAAAATAACAAATCTCACAAATGCAGACTATTGTGGGAAAGAATTCTGTTCCAAAACTGGTGGGGGGGGGCATCCCTATTAATAGCACACAGCTGACCCACTTTTAAAGATGTCAAGAGCTGGGAACGTAGCTTAATTGGTAGTGTCTGCCTAGTATGCGTGAAGCTTTGGGTTCGGTCTCCTGTGCTGCATAAAACCAAGCACGAAGACAAGACACGGGCCTATAACCCCAGCACCGGGGAAGTGGAGGCAGGGGGATCCTTGATTCTAAGTCATCATTGTCTGCTCCGCAGGTCTGTGCTGGGAGACCCTGACTCAGAAACAAACCAAAAACCAGTCAGGGTTAGGAGACAATGCCCACACATTCCCGCCCGCTCCCTGCGTCTTCTCTGGGGCTTTTTCTCCTACCTGTGTCCTTGCATCAGGTGAGAAGCTGTCTGTAAACCCTTGTGCTAAACTCTGGGGTACATTCTAGAGAAGCCTGGTTCTGTGCACTGGAGCAGACTAGAGCTGCAGGAGAACCCTGTGCGCGAGCTGGGAGGGAAACGCTCAACCAGCGTCCGCACTATGTCGCAGCCAGGGCTGCAAAGGAAGAGCCCTCGAGCGGAGTGGGCAGGTCCAGGAAGGCTCTTCAGAAGCGCCACCTCACCTGAGCTATAAAGAATGAGACCCTGATAAAGGCTTCTGTCCCAAATATGTAAATTACCTCCACCAGACAATACAGAGAATAGGCGAGAATCTGGACGTGTTGAGGGATATTTGATGACACTGCGAGCCCCGGGTTTGCATTTACGTTGATTAAATAAAATTAACCGTGGGTCAGGAAGCGGAGTTAGCAGGTAGTTGAACATCAGAGGGGATCCAGAAAACAAAGGCGCGCAGGAAGTAGGTGGGCGGGGCGTGGAGGGCGCAGGCTTTTCTGGTTTTGGCCAAGTGGCAGGGGCTTTTCAGAGATGCCAGAGGAAAGAAGGTTAGTTAGTTGCTACTCAGCCTCTCTGAACTCGCAGGTTTTCATCCCAGCCTTTGAATCTCGTGTCTTATTTATAAATAGAACAGTAGAGATTTAGTTAAAGCCATCTTTGGTGGCACTAATGGAGCCAGGGTGTCCGGGAACAGGCTTCTCACCAGGCTGGAGAAGCAGGCCAGTAACTATACATCTTGCAGTTGCTGTACGAAATAGGCGTAGATCAGGACACAGTCACCGGGCCGAAGTTAAAACAACAAGAACAGCCAAAATCAGAAATCCAAGTGGCCAAAAAGACGTGAAACTGTATTCCAGTCACCGGTGATCAGGAACACACACACCGAAACCGCTGCTACAAAACACCCAGATTAGCTAACATTCTGAGGCTGTCACAGACAGGCGTCAGTGAAGTAATAACCATGTGAGAGAGAAAAAAGGCCATTTTCTAGTTAACTGAAGATACACTCACTGCCCACACACACCGTGGGGTATCCAAAGATGTCCAAGTCAAGAATTGGGAATCCCCAAGCAAGAGCACACTCACTCAGGGCTCAGTGGACTGCAGAAGACCTGCACTAACCGTTTCAGTACATGGTAGTCTTTCTGGGCCGCCTGACCTCAGTCACACCCGCTCAACGCCCAGCACTACGCTTGAGCAGCCGAAGGGGCTACACGGCTCAATGTCATGGCTCCCCTTAGCTGTTATACCACAATGACTGCAGAACTCGAGAAACACGCTCACGGGCAAGTCCAACGCTGGCTGTGACGTGTTGAGGGAGGACACACCCCGGTGAACGCTGTGGGATTCCATCAGAAGGCTCCAAATACCCACGGATTGGCCTGGCAGAAGAGCCCAGGGGCCGACCGCTCCTTAGCAGGCTTGACACTGAACTATAGGGATGGGGGCTGCATTCCCGGTCTCTGGCGCTAACCAGCAGTGGTTACTGGACAGCCGGGGTCAGGTGTGATGGGAATAGAGAGCTAGAGAGCCAAGATTGGAGCTGGTGGGATGGGAGGTTTCTGGAGAGCAGGCCACTTTCTCATTTTTGATTAATTAATGGTTACTGAAGTTTCGGTATTTAAAGCAGGCTCCATGCTTTTTTCCTGGATGTGTTATACCTGCCCTCCAGAGAAAAGCTTAAAGGGCAGTGGGGATAAACAGGCTGAAAGACAGACATGATGAGCAAAGGCCAGAAGTGAGAGGAATTCTGGGGCCTGGAGGCTGCGCAGTACATGAGGAAGAAAGTATAGAAAGGCGGGTCACAAGATTCCGAAACCGCCATGAGTCTCTCGGATGCATGCTCCAGTGCCAAGCAAGGAGGCTCACGCCTCTAGCCGCAGCACTCAAGAGGCCGGAGCAGGGTAACTGTCCCTATGTTCAAGTCCAGCCTGGGCTCCTGAGACCCTGTCTCAAAACACAAGACAAAAAGAAAAGAAAAAACGCTGTAATGTTACTTCATTTAACTGTACCGAGACGATGTTATTAACACAGCATTCTGTATTTCTCAGTTACCTAAAACCTCTCACTTACAGAATAAATCAGATAAGCTGAACAGCCACACATTAAATCACTTAACAATCTACCACAGTCTACACCAGCGTTCTCAACCTGGGGGCGCAAGACCATTCCACAGGGGTTGAATATCAGATATTTACATTATGATTCATAACAGTAGCGAAATTAGTTATGAAGTAGCAACAAAAATAGTTTTATGGTTGGGGGTCCCCACGACATGAGGAACTGTATTAAAGGGTCGCAGCATTGGGAAGGTTGAGAACCACTGGTATGGCTGACCTCATGCCTGAATTCACAAATCTTCAACAAACATGGTCCAAATCAATGAAGTCCTCTTTCCTGCGGTCACTTGGGGTGTTCCCAGTTCCCATGTCTTTCTGCCAGGGTTTCAGCTCAGCCTCAGAATTGACTAACAATGTGGATCACTTCCCTAACCTCTCTCCTTAAATCTTATCAATCAATAAAAATCCACCTGGAAGGGTTTGTAGGGGTTCAGAACGGATGTGATCTGTTCGTACAGAACCGGGCACAGGCTGGAAGTCGCTGCTTCTGACTCTGTTCTGCAGCCGCCGGGAGGGCATGCAGGTTGCCTGGCCACCGCCCTGTAAGATGGTGGTGAAGTTGCTTGTGTTTTCACACTGTTTTTACTAAAGAAAAGAAGTTTAGATGTGTTTTATAAATACAAACCCATCTCCAGAGGCGAGTTGGTGGGAATTAACATGTGTGGTTTGTGCCGTCTTCATAGAATTGCATTGTCAGAGCAGAACTTCCAGTGTTTAACAGTTCTCAACTTTATATGGAATGTGACTTTTTGTATCTTTGTGCCAATTTGGTTTTGGGGCTTTTTGGTTGATTGGTTGATTGGTTGGTTGGTACATTTGCATTTTGAGGCCTCTGCTATAGCCCAGCCTGGCCTGACACTCACTATGTAACACAGGCCACTTTAGAACTTGTGGTAATCCTCCTGCTTCAGCCTCCCAAGCGTAGGAATGACAAGCATGAGCCACCCTGCCCTCTGACTTGCATTACAAGGTTCGAGTTTTGTCACGGGCACATTTTAGTGAAAAAACATGAAATGGATCAACAGATATTTTAGTTTAGAAGCTTTGAGAAGAACTTTTTTTTTAACCTTCAACAAGTCTTGATTGTAGTAATATAAACTCACTTAGCATCTGCACAAATTTCAAAACCATTACAACTTGCTGTGCCCAGGCTCCTCATGATCGCCCTGGAGGACGCCGAGATGCTTTCACAGATCCTGTAGCACTAATTTCACAGTTACCAGCCACGCCCACCAAGGCTGTAACACCATTTGTCCCTCCTCTCAAAGAATGTGTGCAACCCTCAGGCTGAGGAGAGAGCTTACGGCTGCTATGGAGAAAAACACCCCCTCCCCCTTAACTTCCTGTGTTTAAAGGGGGACAGAGCCTCTGATACTGCAGCCCAATGCAAGAACGTCAACTCCAAGGCTGGGCCTCAGAGGCTGAGCCTGTCATGGATACATAATGGCCCAGTCTTTAGAGCGGCTGAAAAGTCCTTCCTCCGTGTGTACTGTTCTGCCCTCCAGGGAGAGCTCTGAATTCCTCACAGCCTTCAGCTGGGCTGAAAACATTCAGATGGAGGGAGGGCATGAAAAGAAGCTCTCCACGAGAAGCTTGAATTTGAGGCGGAGATCGACAACAACACACCTTGGTCTACAACACACACGTGCACACATACACACATACTTCATACATACATATACACATATACACACATGTGCCTGTATATGCCTACGTGCACATATGCACACATACCTATATGCACATACACACACGCAGATACACACATGCACACACATACACACTTGCATACACGCATATACACACATACACACATATGAATGTACATACCTAGAGGCACATATGCACACATACGTATATGCACACACAGATACACGCATGCGCACATATTTGCATACATACATATACACATGCATATATGCACATATACACATGCAGATACACACATATGCACATATACACACACGCATGTACATACACACCTAGTAGTGACTACCAAGC